CGAATTCAATGGTGTTGCGGAACGTGGTTTGGGATTGATAGAAGAGGCCGCAATGGCGGCTCATTTCAGGCCAAAGTTCTGTTTGGGCATGTGCAGCTACCTAAGACTGATAGACTCTGGGCGGAGGCCATGCACTGGGCCTGCGAGGCACTCAATCACACGGCTTGTTCTGCTAACCCCGACTCCAAATCGCCGTATGAAATGTGGTATGGGGAAGCTCGTCCTGCTAGACCGTATCCGTTTTTGAAGCCAGCGTACTGTAAATGGCAGCGACCGTCTAAGCTGCTACCGAAGGGTGAGAGTTGCTTTTATGTTGGTCCTTCGAGAGACCACCCACGTGATTGTCATAGAGTACTCACCAGAGCTGGGACTATTCAGGAAACGAGGAACGTAACGTGGGAAGCGTTGCCGTCACAGCTCCCTCCACCGCAACCTCCGCTGCCGATAGAGGTCGCAGAGGAGGAAGGGGAGGAAAGTGACGACGATGTAGAAGCTGAGGTATGGCCACTTGTAGGAAGAGGAGTTGCCCACACACTTTTGCGAAATAGTGCATCGGTCCTCCCAACCTCCCCTAGTAGATCAATTCCCTTCATATCTTCTCAGTCCACTGATGGGGAGGAGCAGGGAGGGCAGGAAACGGGGGAAGTAGAGTCCGAAGATCCGGGAGAGCATGTTGAAGTAGAGTCGGAGGATCCGGGAGGGCATGAAAAAGAGTCTATGGATCAAGGAGGGCAAGATACAGAGTCGGCGGGGCCGGGAGGGCAGGAAGTAGAGGCGGAGGCATCTCCTCCAGCCGCTTGCCGTCCGCAGCATGTCGTTGACCTTGCTGATTTTAATACTGGTGCGCGTGAGAGTGATGAGGTCCGAGCTGGTAGAACTCGTGCGCAAACCCGTGCGATAAATCAGCAGAGCGTATCCGGCCTTGTGGCTACTCTAGGACCCATCTCAGCATCAGAGATAGTACATGCACTCATAGCGGAGCAGAGAGCAGGTGATGCAGTAGAATTGCCGAAAGAGCTCATTCAGGACGTAGAGCCAGAGCCTGGTAGCTATCAAGAAGCTCTGCGATCGAAGCATGCCACGATTTGGGATAAAGCCATGTCTGCAGAAGTTGAAGGCTTGATACGAGCAGGAACGTTCACGTTAGCAGCAAAAATCCCAGAAGGTTGTAACGTGATTGATGCTAGATGGGTTTTCAAATGGAAAGCAGACGAAACAGGAAAGATAGTAAAGGCCAAGGCTAGGCTTGTAGCGAAGGGCTTCAAGCAGAAGCATGGGGTGGACTATCTTGAGACTTTCTCGCCTACTGCAAATGCTGCATCGATTCGATTGGTAGTAGCATTGGCGTGCAAGTATAACTTGGAATTACTCCACTTAGACATCGAGCAAGCCTTTTTTCAGTCGAAATTGGATCACGAGGTGTTAATGAAGTTGCCTCCTGGCTGTGATTCGATGTCAGGAAAAATTGTCCGTTTGAACAAGAGTTTGTACGGTTTGAAGCAAGCATCTAGAACATTTTACAAGAGGCTCGTGTCGGACCTGCTTCGGATAGGTTTCGAGCAGTCTCTGTCTGATCCCTGTGTCCTGCGTTTCATGATGGGAGACGAGGTGATGGGTATAATCGCGATTCATGTGGATGACATTCTGTATGCAGGAACGAAGAGGCTTGCCGAGGTGATTGTAGAGGCACTAGGTGACTCTCTTCCTACGAAGAATTTGGGAGAAGTCAGATTCTTTCTTGGTTGCGCATTTAGTCGCGACCGCGAGGCTGGCACGATTGAGATTTCTCAAGAGAGTTACATCAGGAGTGTTCTAGAGAGATTCAATATTTGTCGCACCAGCTCGATCCCCGCTTCCCCTGCCAACGATAGCAGGTCCGTGATGGAGGATGAGGAGGCAGGAGATGTGCCGTTCAGGGAAGTGGTGGGATGCCTGATGTGGATCGCCAACAATACGAGGCCAGAAACTTCGAACGCTGTGCGGACGGTGGCGAGACACTCTCACGAGCCCAAGAAGAGTGACTGGAAGGCAGCCCAGAAGATTTTGAGTTATCTTAAGGAAACGGCACATCTAACTCTGAAGTACAAGCAGGACACTACGGTAGACGTAGGCACGTTAGTGTACGTAGACGCTGACTTTGCCAGCAAGGCCACTGACCGTAGATCAGTTTCTGGAGCATTAGTTCTTGTAGCTGGCTGTCTTGTGTCTTGGTTTTCTTGGACGCAGAAATGTGTCTCACTGTCAACTTCTGAAGCAGAGTATATTGCGATGGGTGACGGTGTTAAGGAGGCTCTCTTTGTGAACGGGATGCTTCAGCTCTTGAGACCTAGTGCGAAGCCTCGGAAAATTGACGTCTTTGAGGACAACGAAGGAGCGATTGCGCTTGCAGAGAATCCGCTTAGCTCGAGTAGGAGTAAGCACATTGACGTGAGGCACCACTTCCTTAGGAATTTGACGGAGGAGGGCGTGATCGAAGTCACCCATGTCCCAAGCAAGGAGCAGCATGCTGACATCCTCACAAAGGCTCTACCGAGAAACCTTTTTTAAGTTCACCGTGACTTTGTCCTTGGCTCAGTAGCTGAGAAGTAGAGATCTGAGTTAGTTTCTGATTTTGTATTATTAGGTCTGGTCGAGACGACAGCCCCAAGGGAGGGTGTTTGTGAATTGTGGCTGTAGTATCGAATGTATGACGTGTATTGCGGTGTAGTAGGTGATACTTGGTATTGTAACGAAACGTAACACAAAGGTCAGTAGATTGCAGCGAGTAGGTTGCAGCGAATAGATTGCAGCGAATAGATTTATTGCTGAGGAAAAGCTGTAGCGAGAAGCCATGGGGAGCGCAGCCCACCGTGCTCACTCCACCTTGCCGACCTGTCTCTCCGGGCAAGTTCTCATTAATACACCACATATTTCTCCAGAAGTCACGAGTTTCCAACAACAGTAATCAGGCTCCCCTGAGCATTTCGGAACACACTGGACACCTCACAGCCACCGATATATCCTCCGCTCCTGCGCTCTCTCGAGGTATGTGGCTTATACTTGTACTTGCTTTTTAGTGTGTGGTTCACCACGCGTACTTTTTTTTACCGTTGCCTCGTCTCTTATGTTTTTGGAGGAGAAACCACACGCGAGACCTACCCCAACTCACAACCAAACAAAACCCAAACCACCACCAGCACATTCACCCACCATCCACCGCAGCATGTGTTCACCTCGCCGCTCTTCCTCGTCGTCCAACGCCCACTCCAGGGCCGCTGCATCGTCCTCGCAGCGCCGGGGTCAGCAAGTGACGCCTGCCGTCCCCCGACGCCACTAGTCCGGCGGCGCGCGGGGGGACGACAAGGAGAATCGCCAGTCTGCTGGCCGTGGAGCGCCCAGCAAGAGCAAGGTGAAAAGTGGCCCGCGCTTTGCCCTCAATCCGTCCTCGGCTGGCTATAAGAAGCGAGCGGCATCTGCGTCTCCTCGTGCCACGTCCACAGAGGAGGTATGCATATGTATCATAATATTATAAGGAAGAAGAATTTTCACTTTTCGCATAGGAGTTCTGTTGTGTTTTGGTAGTCTACTTTCAAAAACAAGAAGAGGAGTGATGATTTTCTTTCAGAAGGGGTCATGGCTGGCGCGGTCCGCCGGCCTATCTGTTTGCATGCGTGCCCACGTATTGGTAGTATGCTGTTGCTCGTTGCAACACCCGCGTAGTCATTTCATTCGCCGCGCAGCGGTCAACCAACGCTTTCATTTTCCAATGCGTACTCGTGTCATGCGTGTGTGGGCTCACGCTGCTATTCTTTTCTTATTTTTTTCGTCTTTGCATAGACTATTGATGGGAATGTTTATTCGAAAGTAAAACACGTGTATGTGTGAGCGGACTTCATCATCACACATAAACTTACTGACATGTTGGGGGACACCCCCCGCTTGTGTATCTCTGTCGGAGCTCTCTTTTCCGCCCTCAACCACTACACGATATACCAATAAACAATGAGCCCCGCCCCCCTCCTACAAAAGAAGAGTGGCCAGGGAGAGGACGACGTCGTGACCATTGAAAGCACATGTTACACTCGGGAGTCCTTCAAATTATTGAGAGTGTTCTCTCGTTCATTGTTAGACCACCTCCCGGGTGTAAAAGACGGGATGCGAAGGCCACCATCCCAAGAGCATCTCCGTCGGTACTGTTCATCGTAACCACATGTACAAACATTATCTGAACGCAAGAGGTGATGGCGGAACACCAGTGCTGAAAAGCAATACTCTTTGTCCGAGTACGCCCCCTGCCCGTTGCGTTTGAGTGAATACCGTATTTGACACAAGGTAACACACCCCCTTGACCGATTTTGGAAGCTCGATTTCTCAACTGCAGAAACAGTCACAGCGCCGATAACGGCGGCGTTGAAACCGTCTGGTCGAGAGCTTTTCGAAAATGTATCATTTCGCTTTTGCATCCTCGTCGTCGTGGAGTAATTGAGCTTCGAAATCGGTCCAGGGGGTGTGTTATCTTGTATTCATGTACGGTATGTATGACATGCCCGCCCTCGCTGCCCGGAGCGCGTGTGGCGCACGGCAAAACGGCGGCGCAGAAGTACACACGTTGCTGTTGGAACATCGGTATTTGCCTGCCTGTGTTTTACTTTCCCCACATTTGTACGTTCATAACCTCTGAAAGACAGCGATTCTTACCGTACGAAATATCGCCGCGATGCACCACCAGTTCGTGCGTATGCCGCATCCGTTCCGCCCGCCACCCCTTTCCCCTCTTTCTCATCACCACAGAGCGACGACGAACCGGTTCCACCTATAGCGGACACGGAGGAGGAACAAAGCGGTGACGAAGACGACGACCCCGAGTACTCTGAAGAAGAGGAGGAAGACGAGAAAGACGACGAGTCTGAAGACCTACTCGCGCCCCAGGTCCCCTCTCCTATGCCCTCTCCCATGACCGCCATCGGGTTTTGCGACCCCGATGAGTGGAACCAGCATGTTGCCCCCCGCCGGCGGGGAAGGCGTGTTCGTCTCACCGCGCCGCCGGAGGGCGGCGCGGCCGGCGGCAGGGACAGCGCCCGCCGCGGCTCGTTCCCGAGTGTGACGCTAGACGGCGGCCGCCGCCCCTTTGGGAGCCTTCGTGGGACGCCCATGGCGGGTGGCAGCATCACTAGCTCCGTCACCATCGATAGCAGCATGAGCTCGGACGAGGTGTTCGAACACCTCCGTCAGATTGTTTCATCGACAGTGCTGTCCGGCCTCTCGGGCCACCTGCTCCGGTTCGTGGCCCCATCCTTATGCCCATCCTTGATGGTGAGTATGGTACACACTATTTGAGGGTCGTCGTAAGTTGTGAAGTACGTACTCGTGTATTTCATGTGTATATCATATCTATATTTCGCAAGGCATTGATTGCACAACAGACGTTTGTTTGTGTTCGGTTACAGAAACCTCACGTGCGTGTCATTCGCTCCTTTTTTTTTTCTCATCTTTTTTTCCAGGCTCCCCCGCCGTCTTTTGGTGCCTCGATCAAGGCACCTTTCAGCGAGGCTTTCGTGGGGCCCGAGAAGAAGCGCCATTCCTCTGGACAGCAACCGTCCACCACCAACAACAGCGTTATGGCGGCAATCAGCTGCATGTGGGTCGGACCCGTCACCTCCGAGTTCCCAGGTAAACAACGCGTGTGCTCGGTAAATAATATGTATGTTTTCTTTTTATTTCACCTGTTCATAAATGTTTTGGAACTCAGCGGCCCAACGAGTACCGCGCTTTGTCGTGTACTACTTCTTCTCGGCCCCCGGTATCCTCGTTACCCTCGATTCCTTGTGCCCAAAAGATGATCGGGCACCTTTTGAAGAGCCCCTGGTTAAGCGACCACGGATGCTCGGTGCCTCGTTTGCGTCTTTGATGTGCCTACACACGCCCATATATGCTTGTGCCAGAGTACATACGTCCTGCCGCCCCTTGCGGGTTTTACGCCGTTTCAAACTGTGTGTCGCCACCGTGTCTTGCGCCATGGTGCCTTCTGTCTCCACATTCCAGCGATCCTCACCAAGCACATCTCGCCGTACAGGAGCGAGCTCCACGCCGCCCTTGCTTGGGCCTGGCGGAGCACATCATCCTACCCGCTCTCAACGACGAGATCCGAGCCAAACTGGGAGCGCAGACTGCGTCCGACCTCATCCGCGGGGTTCGCGCTTCTCTGTACACCATGGATGCTGACGGGGGCGAGGTATACTAGGAGTTCCATTGTTTTGTGTGCTTCGGGAGCGGTGTGTAGATATGTCTACATTGAGTGCGTTATTGCGCGTATGTATGTGGTCCCTGGGAGAGAGCATGTATACCCCAAAGCTTTTACCAGTGTCTATAGCCGTGAAGGTCATGCCGAACGAGTGTTGAAGCTTGAGCATCGCCACGTACCTCCGTACCGTCTAACCAACTGCTGCCTTTCACGTGCCCTGTCCCCCCATTCATTATCTACAGAACGCCCGCCGCGTCGAGGCCTTCATGCACGCCACCTTCGCTCGAGCGATGAAGGCCCACCGCGCGAAGAACCGCCGTGGCCTGTCCATGACCGATATCTTCGGCGGGAACAGCCTCCGTCGCGACTTTGCCAACCAGGTACGTGGAAGCGCTTAGGTGTGTTTTCGCTCGGGGACTACAGTCCAAAGGTACGTAGTCCCACCACACAAGCTGTTCATGATTCAGGTGGACATGTGCGCTTATTCTCATGTCTCGACATGATGTTTTTTTCCGCGGGGTCAAAATGAGTTCGTCCGTTCCGCTGGAAGTGCCGTGTCCCAGCCGCGTAAACCTACTCTCTCGTGCATGCGTCCCTCCGCCCATCAGAAAGTAGAGAAAAAAAAGCTCGACCTCGCATTCCCGTGTACTCCATCCACACTTTTCAGGTCGCGACCCTGCTCGCCGTGCACGCCATCGCGGAGCTAGAGCATGCCCCTCTCACTGAAGTGGGCGCGCCGGAGACCATCGCCTGTCGCGCTGTGAGGCAGGTGAGGAGCTGGTCCAAGCTACAGACCGGCGGATTCGGAGCGAGGAACCAGAGGGCGTTCCAAGAAGTGTGAGTGCCGGGTGTGTGCGTGAGTTTATCTTTGTAGCAGGTATTCCTTACGTTGCACAAGATACATGTTTTTTGGCCCGGTCTCACCGCTCCCTTCGTCACCTTGAACACTTCAAGCCCTTGCACAGTTATTTGACTTCGTCCTCTCACGAGCCCTCTTGCAGCTATAACCTGGGCCCGAAAAATATCTGATTGCAGGCTGAGCCCAATCACCACTACCTTTTGAAATATTCCTCGTGGCGGTCATCATTGGGGTGCTGTTGTGGGAGGGGGGGCGGTCAAAGAAAAACACGCTGCATAGCCCCGGCATCGTGTCGTGGCGTTAGTGTTGCCGATTCTTGTGTTGGCATAGATGCATGTCAATTCTTTTCCCATACGCCATTTACTCATATATCCCAATCTTGTTTACGATAACATTAAATGGGATGTGGCGCCACCTATACGGGTTCATCACGAGCCCCCGCCGCCTTGCTCACGGGCTCACGGCGATGGACCCCGCCTCCATCACCAACGCCGACGCTCGGCGCTACCTCACCCCGTACTACACGGGTGAGAGTTTTTTTTTTCTCTCCCATTTTTGGACTCTGTCGTCTGCCCCTCTGGCCCCCATCCTCCACTTTTACTAGCTAGACGACCCAACCGGGGTCACATAGGAGTAATGACACCGGCGTTCACTATGCTTTCTTTTACGCGTCCCGCGAGGTGCGTTTTGCCGCCACGGCAGTCGCGTATAGCTAGAAAGCATACATGAAACAGGCGATGTAGGGAGTGACCATTCCCCGAGTAGATGCACCTGGAAGGGGGAGTTTTTCCTCCATGTTGCCACGCGTTGTCGCATCTGTCGGCGAAGTTTCGTTTCTGTCCGCGACGACTACCCTGGAACGTTCATCGTTGTGTTCGTTGATGTTGAACCAAAGTGGATACCCGGCGAGGAAACTCCCCAGCTTTTGAGTGTGGCTATACCAGTACACCACACGCATGCATCCCTCTTGCTCGCCCCCGTACCGCCTCGACACGCATCAGCTCTATATACTAAACGCCCACTTCAACCTCCGTTGTTGTTTGTACTTTTTCCTCTTCACAGAGGAGCCGGCCATCGCCAACCCCGAGCCCGCCTCGGACGGAGAGGAGACGGTCGACCCAAACGCTGGCCCTCTTCGCGTCGAGGAAACCCTCACTCCGGACGCCGCCGACTTCTAGAAGGCGCGCATCGCACCGTCTGTGCCCTCGAGTGTTTCGCCTATTGATCGCGAAAGGGAGTGTTCGGATGTGCCAGAGTTTTGCTTAGTACGAGGCTAGCACGGTTTTGGGACGGGGAGGAGCGCGTGGGGGTTATATTTATATCTTTGTGCGTTGCGTAGAATATGTCGTGCGCAGAGCCGGGGATATAGGAAAGAGATGGCAAGAAAAAAAGTCCGTGGACGGAAGATAGATCTATCTGTGTCTCCCGCCCCCGCCTGTTATTGACGCCGCCGTATGTTTCTCATGCGCCGGGCGCGCGTAGTTTGAAAATTGAGTCTGTCATCGTGAGTTTTTGCGGCGCGTGCGGGTACCCGTTGCGTCGTCTTTTTTTCCTCACACAAGCTCGTAATAAAGTCGGTTTCTGGTTCGGCGAGACACACCAGACAGAGAGAACGCGCAAGTGGTTGGTATAGAATACACAAGTGTTTTCCGGTCGCGACTTGTACGAATACGTGTCCTCTAGAGCGTTTGGTGTGGGTGCGGTGTAAGTCCGACGTCGAGAACTTGTGTAGATTGATTGGGTTTGTGTCTGATGCAAACATAATAATTACAATTACCTTCCACCAAGGTGGTACCCTCTCTGCACCAAACAGATGACCACTCGCAGGGTCCCTGCCGTACACGGTACACCCACCGACATAATTTTAAATGAAAATGTTATATACGACACCGGTGTCGTACTTCCTTATATACGACACCTACCATTTCTTGGCCCACAGGGCTCCAATCGGCGTACAACAAAATGCGCTGTGTAGCCACGGCCCGCAGCTATCAGCCCATACCATTTTGGGTCAAATCGGCCAAGTGGTTGCGGAGAAAGAGCCGAAAATAGGGGGCTCCGCAACTTACCGGGGGGGTGTCAGCGACGTTCCGGTCATAACTCCTTGCACAGACATCGCCTGATCGCACGTAAACTCGCGATGAGTAGGTACAGGCCAGAGCTATCGTTCAAGCCGCTGTGGGGCGAAATCCACCCAGTCAGTGCCATGGTACGCCTACACCCGGCTAGACGGTGTCCCCAAGGGCGGTGTCGTAGATAAGCTTATATACTCTTCAACCACTTGGCCGATTTGACCCAAAATGGTATGGGCTGATAGCTGCGGGCCGTGGCTACACAGCGCATTTTGTTGTACGCCGATTGGAGCCCTGTGGGCCAAGAAATGGTAGGTGTCGTATATAAGGAAGTACGACACCGGTGTCGTATATAACACTACCGAATTTTAAAGGTCGCCACCTTCACATGGGGCAGCCTCCTCGACCTTATTCATTACCTGACCTTGTACCAAGGTGTACCCTCACACACCATATAGAAAGCCTCTGGCCTATAGACTACAGGGTAGGCCGAAACAGACCCGACGGTCCGACAGGGCCCATGTCCTGTCATGTACTCCACGCCCTGGTCCCTACAGGGTCCGCATACGGTCTAGTCTATGGATCACAATATAGGGCCGTCACAGTACTCGTACCTGCAGGGTCTCAGAGCGGGCAGGGTCCATTTCCTATACAGTACAACAGCCCTGGCCCCTACAGGGTCCGCATACTGTCTATGGATCACAATATAGGGCCGTCATAGTACTCGTGCCTGCAGGGTCTCAGAGCGGGCACCCTGCGATCCGAGCCGAATGGGTACGTGTATGTTGTTTGGGTCGGAATTCATGGTGAATGTTTGGGAAGCACAAGGCGGAGTCCCGCACGTCTGATCGAAACGTGCGCCCGGCACAGCGATTCGAAATGCTTTCGACGCTCCATGTGAGATGCGGGGATTGGGATGGACATTAAATTTTTCGGGATTCTAAAGACCTCACTTTCATGTCCTTCCTTGGCCGAGTGCTGAAACGAACCTCTGTGTCATCCTTGACTCTTCTTCGGTGGATCGAGATGGATTCGTCGTGTTGTACTCCGAAGTAGCAAGAAAGGAAATGACACTGAACTCTGAGCGGCGAAGAAGCCCTGCCGCGCTTTTGTCGTCATGAATCACCGCTCAACTACTAACCACTCTGTGAGCGTGTGCGACCTACGGACTTCTGGCGTTGCATTTTGTGATCAACGTAGCCACACATCACACTTCTACAGAAGGGTTTCGCAATATCGACACACTGATCTGCGGAGCACTCGCCATCTTTTCAGTTAGTTGAGGTTCAGACCAGTGTGTCAAAGTTTGGAGTTGTTGGCTGTTGTAAGGGGCTTATCCGGCGTTTGGTCCACCTCAGGGGCGCACCAGGAGAGAACCGCTCCCTTCAGTTCGATCGTACGAGACTTTTTTATCTCGACACATCTTGACCGAGCTTTGTCCACCGATATCCAATTGTTCAACCTCCAAGGGTTGGAGGTTGCTTCACTTCTCAGCGAGCATCTCAAGGCTTCAGCCCCGCGCGCCACGGCTGCTAAATGATCATCCACAAGCTAACCCTACATACGCACGTGATCAAATCAGTTGAGGCAAAGATTCGTCATTTGCAGGCATATCCTACGGCAGTTTATCCCGTGCAAAACAAACGCGGATATTGTCGCGCAACCAACCTACTCTATTGATACCCTTTGGCCAACAACATATTGTACAGCAGTCGAACCCAGTGATCTATTGGCCCTGGAATACAGTAGTGTAGGCAGTCCGGGTTCTCGTCTCCCCCCAAATGGAAGTCGGGACGAAGCAAGGTCGGGGTGTAGGCGTCCAGTTCCTTCCATCCATCCGTAGCGTTGCTCAGAAAGGCCTCTTCGAGAATGGCATTGTATTTCGGGAAGCGGCCCCACTGGTACTGGTGAGGTCCGCTCGCGACCAAGTCGAGGGCGGTATCAACATCAACGGGCCCGTCAAACGTCCTGTGGGGGAGGTCGAGCGGCGACGGTGGGGTGAAACAAAACGCGACAAGATCGGTGATCTCTTCTGAGAACCTTCATGGTGCAGGTGCAGCAGCTTGCCTCCCCGGATACGTCTTGAACGCTGCGCATGGGTTTGTCGAGCGAAATGTATCTCCAGCACAGCCGGTACGATAGATAGATGGACACTCGTACTACCGTGATGCATGTAGCCTTCAGAGGTGTAGAACTGATTTTTCCAACGCAGTCCTACACCAGTGCGACCGAGGAGTCGTCCCGTACCCTTGGGTCATCTGTATCCTCACTCTCTCACTCGTCTAGCCTCGCGCACTGACCTTTCGGTGCATGTTACGCCGTGCCCTGGTGGGGTGTTTCTCACGATGAGAAGAGCATCATCTCCGTGGAGACGTTTCATGGACGCCGTCATCTTTTTGCTTGCGGTCTCCATCGCCTCTCGGTACTCGTCCAAGGATCTAGGGTGTGCCCCGCTGTTGATTATCAGCGTGTCGTACTCCTTAAGGGTGTCGTCGTCCGCGAACACTTCGCACTGCGCGTTCCGTTTAGGGTTTCTTGAGTCACAGAACCCGTCCCAAAACGCACTCCGCCTCGTGGTGGTGTCAAGGAAGTCGTTTCGATAAAACGCAATTTTGACCTCCCCGTTGCATGCCCCCCACTTGAGGGCGTGATTGAGGTGGTACTTGGAGTGGACCTGTTCTGGCGTCGCACGCAAGACCGAAACCAGCGTTCTCACCATCAGGTCGGTGATGCTGTCCCCTGAAACGAAGGCGGCGTGGCGTTGGAATGGAGGGAAACGCCCGTGAGGCTGACTCCAAAGTTGAGACGGAACACGTCAGATGATCATCGACAACCCAGGTCATGCTTCAAGCGTGCATTTCTGGACTAGCCGCATGCCCACTAGAACCGAGTTCCACGGCTCAGCGACGTTCCGGTGCAAGCCAAGCGAATAAAGGGCATGTCTACCAGCTTTGTTTCGAGGAGACGCCTTGACGGACACAAACCAACACGGCAGGTTCGTCCCAAACGAGCAACGCAGGGCTGGCAAGTGCAGGTTACGACTTTTGCCAAACGCTCAGGTTGCGCAACGACGGGAGGGGTTGCCTCGTGTGCACGTAGGCGTCTCACACTGGGCGGACGCCGGGTTGGAGCTCTACCATCCAGTCTTTAGGGGAGATTCGACAACTGTGAGCTTCAACCCACTCGAAGGCAATTCTCATTTGCTGGAACTCAAACTCACATCAGTTACAGAGGGTGCTTTCCACTCTGTTATTTCAAGCTTGACGTCGACATTACCAAGCTGCATTCCTCCAACGAACGAGACAGAGATGTTGAGGAAAGCACTGACGGGGTTAACGGTAACGTCAGTTGTACATGAAACCCGCTCACCCACGAGCAGGATGCCTTTCCGCCCCTCCATAGCGCGGCAGAACTTCTCCTCGTTAACGTCCTCAAGTGAGCACTCCGCCGCGTCCCAAGTGTAGTACGGCATAGGCTCCTCGCTGCCGTGGTGCTCCGCCCACTTCTGATAGCAGCTGCGTTTCCCCACCGCATTGCGAAACAGTTGGTGTCAGCACGAATATGGTCATTCATTCGTGAAGGATTTTCACTTGGAAATCATATCCACGGTCGATTGCTTCCTGATGCAAGCTTCACGGGAGCCAACCCACGCGTGTTCAACCTGAGGATGACTACCCTGCACTAGCGTTCATCCCCGTTGGCACTGCCATTTTGTGTGTTTTTCCGAAGCCATATGTGGCTGGTGGCGACGTCATCACCTACTTGAAACGCTGTTCTCTAGCCGATGGACAAGCAACGTCGACAGCAAAGCAGTGTGCACACACAGGAAAAGCACAAACGAAAAAAGACAGCGATGTTTGTGACCCCACGTACATTGTCTTGGGGTTGGGGTTCATCATGTCGTCCGGGTTGGTCGGGGACTCGTTCACCCCGTTTTCGCAACGGCGCCATGAGCCGTTGGAAGGGTTGGCTGCCGGGGTAGAGTAGCACTGTGGCAACACGTCGAACTCGATACTCGGATAGGATTCCTCGGCTCTACGAATCCGGCGACTCGATGCACCTGCTCATTGACACATTCAGGCAGCGGCAACAACGTCGCGGCTGTGGGTGTGGCGGGGGGTCTCTGGCGTTATCGTGTTGAAACACGCTTGTGCCATAGCAGCAAGCACCCCATGGCTCCAATTTAGATTGGGCAGCGTAGGTGTCACATAAACACCAAGCCACAAGTAACAACCGTAATCGTTGTCTTTGTCGACAACTGCAGAACAAGGATAGCGTCAAACACTAACTGGATTTCAACTGTCCATGAAGCAACCGCGTGGCTCTCCTGACTCTTGTTGATGTTGCAGATTTCGGCCATCCCATCATCACCAAGAGGTGAGACTACGGTCTTCCCTTCCTTACAGAAGCGTAATCTTGTAATTCAACCAAGGCCTAATTTCAGATAATGATGCCCTTACTGCCCCATCACCCTTGCTGTCATCGACTTCAGCATGCTGGCGACCACGCGGCCGACACTTCGGCCTGATTCGAAAGTGAAACAAATGTCAAGTGTATGACCGACCAAAACCATGCGCACCCTTTCAAGTGGAAGGCAGTCGGAGATACACACGGTAACTGCGGTGATGTGCGTGGTAACGTCAGCGCTTCAAATTGTCAAATAGAGTGGGCACGCGATTTATCCTCTCCGAGGTATGTTACCTCCTTCCCTATTGTAGAGATTTTCGTAAGAGGGGGGGGAGTGTATTCGACTGACCGTGAGTTCTGACGCGTGAATCTGACATCAGCCCGTTCCCACTGCATCACGCAAGGGTCTTGCACGCACCACGCATCCACATGACTCACCGTCATTACCGCTGACCGATGATAGTCCCACCAAGCTCAGGCAAAACATCCGCAAACGGCCGATCACGCGCATACTTCGATCTGTTGCACCCCTGGCGGACGAAATTCCGAGCTGCCAGACGCGCGATTCCTCCTGTAGACCAGGGCGAGAAGGTTTCTTGCTACAAGAGTGGTTGTACGACACCAACACGAACGGAACCTTCGCCTAGCATTCGTTTAACGGCAAAAGATCAACTTGATCTCCGAACAGGAAATGGGGTTGGGCAACACGCAGTATCTGTACATGCGTAGACTAGTAGGTGTTCCTGGATGGGAGAACGCACCCCTGTACTCTACAACTACTCGATGATACAACAACAAATAGCAGTGCCGTGAATGTTGTACTGCTACATGAACAAAAGCGAAAAAATGCAGTCTGGTTCAATCTACGCATACTTTGCCAACCGGTGAGCCCGCGAGTCCGACTGTGACACCAGATCACCGAAAAGGGTACTGCCGTGGAGTTTCTTTGATTGATCGATCGATTGAGTGATACCGGCGGGCCTTCACCCCTTCGCGGGACACACACATTTGAGGGGAGGTGTGCGTGGTGTGCTTCTTACGCTGTGTTTGGTGTTGTTGTGGTACCACTCAAAATTATAATTTTGCCATGATGCGGACGTCGTTCGAGACTGCGCCTGACGCCTTATGGACAGGCAGCTATGTTATCTCGGGAGGAGATCAACATGATGAGCCTGCCGTGACAACAGGTCGACTCTGGATCACCTCTGAGTTCTGGATTTACCGGGCTGAGAGACGAGGAGTCATGTCCGGAAGTATTTCTAGATATGCGTAATCGCCGCGCCGCTGCTGATTAAAACATGATTGGTAATCATACGCACCGAGTTGCCAGCCAGTTGATCACAACTCGACGGATATGAGTGAGAACGGTCGGCCAAGATGGGCAGTGGAGTTGGCACCGCGCTGCTGGACAACATGGAACAACCAAAGGTCCGAAAACAACTCAACATCGGGCCGGCAGCTCCAATCGGAGAGATGTATAGCAGTAGTCTATGGTGTAAGGTAAGGGATACTGAGAACACCGCACACTAACCTTCGCGCTGCTGGACAACATGGAACAACCAAAGGTCCGAAAACAACTCAACATCGGGCCGGCAGCTCCAATCGGAGAGATGTATAGCAGTAGTCTATGGTGTAAGGTAAGGGATACTGAGAACACCGCACACTAACCTTCGCGCTGCTGGACAACATGGAACAACCAAAGGTCCGAAAACAACTCAACATCGGGCCGGCAGCTCCAATCGGAGAGATGTATAGCAGTAGTCTATGGTGTAAGGTAGGGGATACTGAGAACACCGCACACTAACCTTCGCGGCCGGCAAGTACTGTAGTGGTACGAGAAATCCGGCAGGAGAGAGAAGGCAGGCAGCCCGTACGTCAATTCACTTGTGGTCCTACTGCCGGGTGTTCGCGCAACCGTTGTCAACCGTCAACACCACACGACCACCGCCGCATCACAAACCACCAAACCACCGAACTCAAGTCTTGCCGCGGAAAACACAACGTCTGCACAGGTCCGTCCCCATCACAAGGCAAGAGGATATTATTCTTTTTCGTTGATGAGAACAGCGGCAAACCGCTGTACGTTCGACGTGTGTAGCATTCAACGGCACGTAAAGTAGTAAACTCTCTGACCCGATACTCCCCAAATCCCAGGCTGTACCGGACGATCAAGTTGAAAGGCTGGCAGTTCATGCGGGGTTGACGGTGGTTGATCTTGACCCTCCTAGTGTACTGGAAGCCTTTTTGGGGACGATTTGGGGACACTTTGGAACACTCAAAGGCCTATTTGTTTCACACTGCAGTCGAGTCATCCTAGTCTCCACTGTATGCAACGCACGTGAGAACCATTGGCCTATCATCCGTGGCTGAGGTGGTATGCGTGATATGCTTTCTTTGTGATGCCTCTCCCAGGCCTCTGACTTGCTCTACACATCTCCCAACCCGCGCGCCCCCAGTTCGCAACACTTTACGACGAAGACTCGGAATTTGGAATATTCAAATATGAAACAAAATCGATGAATCGATGCAGTTTGTTTAAATCCACGGGGGAGCCTCGAAAGTAGTACGCAGAGATACGATGTCGATAAAACACCTGGAAAGTAAGAGGTGATCTTAGTTCTGCTGTTAATCGCCAGCGTCGTGCATACAAGCGGTTGCGTGATCAGCCCAACGAAGCTGTCCGTTATGCGCGTCGAGCGTCGGAACTCCGCCGCTCCGTCTCCACGACTTCAAGTACTCTTCCCGATGCGGACCGGTCTTATACTACTCTCCAGCCCCTTCTCTCTTCTTCGCAACGTTTTCGCCCAGTTCTCGGCCACCACGCCGTCCGTTGGCCGTGTGTGAGGGTTAGATTAGGTTTTGCTTGAGGGTTTGGGTTGATAGAGCACAAATAGACCTCGCCACTGGGTCCGGAACCCACGCTAGGCCGTGCATCGGGTAGGGAGACTTGCACGTTTTGCACGTGTGTATATGGGTTCGGAGTCTGCCCCAACTATGAACAAGAGATTCGGAAGAGACTAATTTGCGGAAAATCTTGTGGCGACCGATAGGAGATTTTTTTTCTGTACTAATATGATGGTACATGGGTCCAACGTGGCGCTCGCAGTTCAACGTGACAACCACCACACACCCACACGCCACACGAACGTATAGCCGAGCACAGCAACCCACACACGCCAACCAAGACACAACCGGTGCAAAGGTGCGTGCCTACTGATTCCTTTAACAGAGAGAGATGTGCCTAGAATCCATCGATGGTCAACCGTATAGGTGTCGCTTCACGCCCCCTCGCCGTGATGAATCTCTTCCGTCTCTGCGTCGTTCCCTCCAATGCGTCCGTTCGGACCTGCTGAAGGCTGGCGTCCCAGCCGAGTTTCTCCTCGGAACCACCCCCATTCCGGCCACGATCTACGAGAGACTCCAGGCAAGCCGCCACGCAGAGAACGTGAGTGGACAGATACACCGTAGACAAGCGGAGCGCGCAATGGCACGCAGGTGCATGCACGTGCGTTGTGGCGCTGCTGCTGTGAGCACCGTATTTCAGCCGAAATCCTTCTCGCTTGCAACTGCTGTGGAGCTGACTTGTACTGACCCATGTATTGTGTCGGGGGTTGGTGTGGTGATGCCAGTGCGGTCGCTGCTGAGGAAGCAGAGCCCGTCATCATCGCATAACTGGGTCAAAGATTAGAGCAGCTTGGGGTGCGGGGTTGCTGCTCATGGTAGGATCTTCGGTCAACCATGGCGCCGGTTTTAGCGAAGCTGCCGCAGCAAGCTGTCGACATTTCGTGAATCGCGGTCTGTCGCAAGGAGTCTGGACTGGTGTAGAATCTCTGTGCTGCTTCGCTACGACAGCATGCAGTTTCGATCTCCGTATACCATGAACAGACTGCAACCACAAGAGAGAGAACATGTCGAACCGTACTGCTGTAGGTCTCTCGTCATGTCCGAATGTTTCCCCATATTTGTAGCAGAGGGGCTTGGAGGGACAAACAATTCGTGTGTTGAGTAGCTTTCTGCGTCAGTGTCTTGGCGCGCGGGGTCCCTTGGTTGGGAAACAAAAGAGCCAGCGGCGCGGTAGCCCTCAACGGTACAGCAGTGTAGGAACTATGATGGGCGTGGCAGGCTTCTACTTTGGGGTGGAGCGTGATAGCTCGAGTATGATATCTCTGGATGTGGCGTGGAAGCCTAGTGACGTGATAGTCGTGGTGTAAAGGTATAAATAAGGACGTGGATGTCCGGAAGGCGTGGTGGCTGGGTGGCGTGATAGCCAGAACTGGCGTGGAAGCCGTGGCGTGATAGCCGTGGTAGCGTGATAGCCGTGGTAGCGTAATAGCCGGGGAAAAAGAACTTGATTGCACACGGGAAGGAGGAAAAAGAGTAAACAGAAGAACAAGTGAGAAGCCACAACACACAATCACCATATCCGTAGACACACACATACCCCCACCCTCTATCCTGTAATATGCGGCAAAGTTGGTACCACCAAATCTAATCCAAAGCAACTGCTGAACCCCCGAACTCCCCGCATGTGNTGGAAGCCGTGGCGTGATAGCCGTGGTAGCGTGATAGCCGTGGTAGCGTAATAGCCGGGGAAAAAGAACTTGATTGCACACGGGAAGGAGGAAAAAGAGTAAACAGAAGAACAAGTGAGAAGCCACAACACACAATCACCATATCCGTAGACACACACATACCCCCACCCTCTATCCTGTAATATGCGGCAAAGTTGGTACCACCAAATCTAATCCAAAGCAACTGCTGAACCCCCGAACTCCCCGCATGTGTCGGAAATTTCTTGCTTACACTAATCTGTCGATGCTGTGAGTACGTCTAACAGCCCCCCTACTCGCTGCATTGACAAGACCACACCCGGAGTTTCATGTTTTTTCCTTATTATCCTCCCATACACAACACATACCTGACCGAAACAAAATTAAGTGCAAGACATTCCCTTCATCTCAAAATTGCATTCTTGTCACAACACTAGGACCCTTAAACTAGAAACATTCGTTAGAATTCCTATCGGTTTAGATCATTGCCAACCATTAAACCAGAAATACTTGCGACAGTTTCCACTGGTCAATCTCGAACTCGATTTCTCAAAAAATCAAAGGAATCAACACAAAAACCAAAAATCGAAAAAAAAAAAAAGACACAAGACTCAAACACGAAAAGGATCTCCCAGATTGTTCAAATCAAGTTCATCACGTAGTCCCGGTGGGAAACAAACTCTCTCTCAGGTAGCGCCTCCGTATGGAAGTTGGCATGCTGATACTTCGACGCTTTGTGGATGATCTCTCCCTCCTTCTCATCTACGAGCTGACTGAGGAAGTGATGCCGCACGTCGATGTGCTTCGACTTGTTGCTGCTGGTAGCGCCCTCCGCTGTCGGGGAATTGGTGGAAACCGTATCCCCCGCCGGCGGCGCTGCTGTAGGGACCTCCGCCATGGTCCACTCCGTGAGCCGCGAGCCCGTATCCGTAGGCTGCCGCAGGAGGTGGTGGGGTCCAACTGGGCGTAGATCCGTGCGCCGACGTGGCCTCCCATCCCGAGGTGATGTCGCCGCCTGATTGTTCTCCGCCTCCGATGGCGAAATGAGCCGGAAAATAGGGCCGCGGTACGTCGGTAATCTGCGCGGGAGGAACGTTGGGCGGCGGATAATTATCACCACGACCACCCATCGGACGACCTCGGCTCTCCGGGGGGCAAGGACCGTATCCACGATACCCACGCCCCCCAGAGTTGCGCCCCTGCAGGTGTCCTCCAGCTCCGGATCCTGCACCACGCGTTCGTCCCGGCAGTGCTGTAGAGTGGCCCCGACTCCAGCCCGCACCTTGTTCGTTTTGGTACGGCTGCTGTCGAGATAGGCCACCAACCATCCGCCCCGAGTCTTGAGCTCCGCCTCGAGGGAAGACCTACCCCTGGGCCTCCCGCCTCCCGCTCATGTACGCGCAGAACTCGTTGTAGTGGGCGAGGAATTCGTTGCGTAACTTATGACATTAGGATGTGTCGTGGGTGCTGTTGGGGCCGTGGAGCTGGCAGAAGTTCGATGGTTGCTGCTGATATGGCTGCACCGACCCCTGTGGTTGCTGGAGTCGATGTCCGCCTTGCTCCGATCCTGCAGCGGCTGGTTTCCCCGCCCCGCCGCCCCGGCCCACGCCGGCAGCGACGAGGGCGTGCCTTGTCTCTTCCTTCCCCTCTCCAGCTCTCCGCTCGTACCTCAGCTCGTGCTCTTCCAACCTCAGCATCTCCTGCATTGTAGCCCTCGACAACATCGAACCAAACAGAAGACGGTATGTAGTTTTCTCAAACCTTAGGAGAAATCCCCGGATTATGTGCCTGCACATCGACTTTTTATACCTGTTATCACCATACGACCGAATTCTCATCCACAGCGCAGCTGCCCTACCGTAAGAGTCCATAGGACTCTCTCCTTGCCTCTGACCTACTACGTTCCATGCGTCGTCTAGGTTTTGTCGCTCCTGACTCTTGTCCTGGCTGTATTGCTCGAGGAACAAACGGTACCCTGCTTGAGGGGACTCTGATGCCAAGATTTGGGCTTGTCCGGGTTGCGGTGATCTTGGCAAGCATGAACGTCCAAATCTTCCTGGATTGCTTCACTCTCTCGTCTCCGAACGTGCTGCTCAACTAATTCAAATTCACACCAGCTGCACCAACAGGAACCTCTGAACCCCTCATCACACCAGCAAGTCCCTCACTCTCCAGCCACGCTTAAAATGCACTCGTGAACACTCGCAATGCAACTTCGATCGATGTATTCTTCAGATAGTCGTCACTCCATGCCGGTGCATCTACCTTTTCTCTCTGCCTCAGCTCTAAAATCTGGTTGCTAGACGTGCCTGAGTGGGCACGGTACCCCTGGTCCTGAGTTGATGTCGCGATGGCCTGCTTGAAGAGGTCAACCAGCTCACGCATTGTGTTTCGCTGATCTTCCCCTCCTGCCGCTCGCGCACCACCTCGGTCTCGTGCATCGTTGACGAAGTAAGAATCGCTCCCTCCTTCGTCTGCGATGCCTTCCCCGGGGGTAGGGACAGCCTGACCTGATGCCCCCGGAGGTTGTCGTCCGTCTCCGTCCGGCATGTGGCGCGCTTAGACACAGCGGCAACACTCTTGATCGTTTCGCTAGCGTGTTGAGTAGCTTTGTGCGGTGCCTTGGCGCGCGGGGTCCCTTGGGAAATAAAAGCCAGCGGCGTGGTAGCCTTCAACGGTACAGAAGTGTAGGAAGTATGATGGGCGTGACAGGCTTCTTTGGTATGGAGCGTGATAGCTCGAGTATGGTATCTCTGGATGTGGCGTGGAAGCCTAGTGACGTGATAGTCGTGGTGTAAAGGTATAAATAAGGACGTGGATGTCCGGAAGGCGTGGTAGCCGGGTGGCGTGATAGCCAGAACTGGCGTGGAAGCCGTGGCGTGATAGCCGTGGTAGCGTGATAGCCGGGGAAAAGAACTTGATTGCACACGGGAAGGAGGAAAAATAGTAAAAAGAAAACAAGTGAGAAGCCACAACACACAATCACCATATCCGTAGACACACACATGCCCCCACCCTCAATCTGTAATATGCGGCAAAGTTGGTACCACCAAATCTAATCCAAAGCAACTGCTGAACCCCCGAACTCCCCGCTTCATCTGCTCGGAAATTTCTTGCTTACACTAATCTGTCGATGCTGTGAGTACGTCTAACATCGTGACCCTCGGGCTAATTCTACCACGCTGAATCTAATCTGTTCATGGGGCACACGAACTGCGCCTCCCAGCTACTGCGTCGTGAATGTTCTCTAGAGAAGGACGAACAAACCCGTGATACATCCTGGAGCCTCGATCCACATTGCTTCCCAAGTGTTTCTGTGTTGTTGGCTTTGTGCACCAACATTGTACAATACCGTCGGAACCAGGAGACTAAGGGAATAGAGGAGGCAACAGGTCGTGGATACTGTCTGTGGTGCATTCTCGGATATTTGCTTGTCGGACACCACATGTGAGAGGGTTCAACTCCAAATCTCATTCTGATGCCTCGACAACATGATGTGGGCCCACACGGCTTGAACACTACTGCTGTACAACAGTGCAATCGTAGTGCATCTTAATCTCTCGAGCTTTCGGGCACGTCTTCAGCCCACTTACCTCCACGATGCACGAGGCTTCGCGGAATCCCCGACTTTCACCGTAAAGGTCTGTCAGAAACACTCCACATCCTTGCCGGATCTTTACTCTCATGCGTGCATTCCTACATGCATGTACCCTTCTCGCGATAAAAATGTATCAGGCAGGAACCGCAAGAGAGGGTCTAACCCCCCCGGCCTATGTGACCTTGGTTGGGTCGTCTAGCTACAAGTGGAGGATAGGGGCCAGAGGGGCAGACGACAGAGTCCAATTATGGGAGAAAAAAAAAACTACCCATGTATAGTTGGGTTCGTTTTTTGACCCACGTTGGTCCGATATGTACCTATTGAAATATACAATTAGTTCAGTGGGTACAGCCGCGACAAAATCGGGCACTTCCACGCCACACCCAGAGATATCATACTCGAGCTATCACGCTCCATCCCAAAGTAGAAGGCTATCACGCCCATCATAGTTCCTACACTGTACCGTTGGGGGCTACCGCGCCACTTGTGGCGGCCTTGCCCACCGCGGCGGTGTGTGGTTCAAGCACGTGTGAGGAAAATTGTAAAAACTGGTTTTCATCCGGTGGGTATAATCCGTGTGGTATTCCATATTGGAGTTCGTCCGGCGTAAACTTCTTGCCGGGGCACTATCTACAAGCTTCAAGTTCTTCATCTATTATTTATATGCGCTAACGCAAGCTATCGAGCACATTCTTCGTTACACCCGCCCCCCCACCTTCCTACCCCGGTGTTTGCCATCGGGGTTGGGTTTTCGTCGCTTGGCAACGACGTTGAAAAACAAGCCAGTTCACTTCGTGAACTCGGCTACCAGGTTACCGTTTGTGTTCTTTACCTCTGTNCCATCGGGATTGGGTTTTCGTCGCTTGGCAACGACGTTGAAAAACAAGCCAGTTCACTTCGTGAACTCGGCTACCAGGTTACCGTTTGTGTTCTTTACCTCTGTTTTTTTTTGGCGGTAACCATGAATGGTGGTCGTGTAGATCATGTTGTGCGGGG